GCCAGCTGGACCAGCGGCTCGGCGATCACCTCTGGGGTCACCCACAAGATCGAGCCAAGCCAGTGGCGGGGTGGGCGCCGCTGACGAGTGCAGAAAAACCAGGGCGTGGAGCGAGACTGCGTCCAAATAGGAGCTAAGAGCTAGATCGCAGCGCAGGTCGCCTGGACCGGAACAGCGCCAGGAGCGGGTAGATCCGCTCCCCGCGGGTAATTTCCTGGATCCGCTTTTCACGGCCCCGGACCGATAGCGGACCCACCCAGAGGCGGAGATCGAAGAGAACAGCCCAGACTGAACACAAGAATTTGCTGGAGATCTGGGAACAACCGCTGTCGGCCGCGCTGCCCTCAGATCCCAGCGTCGCAAGATCAAGTCGGGGCAGTCTAGGAGTACCATATGGGACTTGCTCTAGCACAGGAACATCCCGCAGACCGATCTGCCCTTGCTCCGACCTTGTTCTGCGCTGAACGCAATGGCCGCCCTTGTAGACGGATTCACCCCGAATGCGCCTATGCACGTAACGACACCCCATGTGTCCGTAGGCGCTTGTGGCTAGAAAACGAAAGCAGTATTTGGCATCTGGCCCAGATAATTTGGAACTCGCTGGGGGATCGTTGTTTCCAAGGCCAGAACCCAATACGCTCGGCCAGCGCGCTGGATCCGTCAGTAGCAATCTTTACGACCCCCATTCGCAAGAAGCTCGGAACTTAGGCTTTCTCTTGCCGGCGATTGGGCTGCTCAGGCTTGCTCCTGCCCTACGAACGGTACACCCTCCTCCGTCGCCCCGGACACACAGATCGCGCTCGCTGCCCCTCAGCGAGCTTCCCAGAAGCAGGTCGACTTTGCCGCCCTCTGACGTCGGCTAGACGCAAGCGTGACCCTGGGCACCCAGGAGCGGGTGCGGGCGCCTCTGCCTTGCCTCCCCAAGTTCGCCCCTTGTCGCCATGGAGCGCGCGGCGAGGTGCGCGTGGCGCAGCGTGCTCCTCTTCCCCACGCAGGGGGCCCGGCCAGAGCGGCGCGGTGACCTCGTCGTGCCCAGGAGGAGGAGGAGAAGGAGGAGGAGGAGGAGGAGGAGGAGGAGGGGGAGGAGGAGGAGGAGGAGGAGGAGGAGGAGGAGGAGGAGGAGGAGGAGGAGGAGGAGGGAGGAGGAGGAGGTGCGCGGCTCCAAGGAGGGCGCGAGGTGGCCAGACCCCAGGCGCGCAGGCCGCTGCTGCTGCTCCGCGCTCGGCCATCGGGGGGGCCCCTGCCAGGCCCCCACCAGAGGTCGCTCCGGCGAGGGGCCCTATCCTGCGCGTGGTCGGCTCTGCTCTCCAACGGCGTGGGCCAGAACACAAACGACACCGCCCCGCCTGGGGCCCCACGGGGCTCCGCGTGTACACCAAGGACTCCGGCGGGGGTCTTCACGGGGTCCGCGCTGCGGCCCCCGATGAGCCGCAGCGCGACCTGGAGGGCCACAGGTGGGGTGGTGTTGTTTGTTCTTCGGTCGACGGCGGCCCTCCCTCCTCGGGGGTCTACCGACCCGGATCAATCCACACCCAGGCCTGTCAGGCCTTGCAGGCTCCGGCAGGATCCTGCCGGATCCTGCGCCCAAGCCCGGGCCCATGCAGCCCCGGCTCTGCAGGATCCTGCAGGATCTGGCGCTCTGACTGGCCCCCGTTTGCGTGGGCCCCCGTCTGCGTGGGCCCCCGTCTCTTGAGCCCGGACCTGCGCGTCTCGTCGTGCTCCCGGCGCTCTTCCCTGGGGGGGGGGGGGCGTGCTCGTCGCAGCGGCCAGGCGCGCCTCGGGAGGTATGCGCGAGCCAGGGCGCGCCCTGGGAGAACGGGCCGCAGGGGGGCGGGCCGCCGCGAGAGGCCCCGGGCCCAGCGCTTCCGCGCGCTGCGAGCAAGAGCCTGGCGCTCTTGTGCGCCTGCTCTCGCTACAGCCAACCCGCATCAGAAGGACGCGCGGTAAGGATGGGAGGGCCTTGGAAGGCCTTGCTAGAGCGTTTTTCGGGCGGGGTTCGCCAGCGAAGGTCGCTGAGGATGGGCCGACGGGGCAAGGATGCAGGGGCGACCTTGGAAATTGCCCACCCTTGCTATGCGGTCTGACTGTGCTTCGGCGTCTGGAAACTTGCCGCGGCCCCCAGGACAATCAGCCATCGTTCCGGGACGAACGGTGCCGGTGCCCGCGGTGGTGCCACGATAGAGAATCGGACGTCCGCACCCGAAGGTCGGATCTACAACTTGTTTCAACGCGGGGCCACCAGAAGTCCCGACCCGCTCCCCAGGGCCGGTCTTCCATCCCGATCGACTTTGTTTGACTCGGCTATACGCAAGAGGGACCCTGGTTAAGAGTGACCTTTGGTGCGCGACTTCTGGGGGGCCGCCTGGGGGACCAAACCTGGGCGCGCAAGCCGCTGATACTGCTTCGTTTTCAGCCATCTGGGGACCCATCTGTGCCCACACCGCAGGTCACTCCGGCGAAAGGTCACTCTTACGTCCAGTCGATTGACGGTCCTGGGGGCCCGGTGGTCCTGTCCTGGGGGCCCGGAGCGGACCCCCAGAGGCGGAAACCGGTGAGAACCTTTCAAGGGCCTGCTCCAAAAAGAAGCACCGTCGGCGCGCACGATAAGAACTCCTGCTGTAAGGAGCCTAGAAGGTACAATTCGCGCTGGTCTTTGCGCCTCCTCGGGTGCTCTGGCGCTTCCGTGGGCCCCAGGGGCCATCGGGGGATAAATACACTTCCGCTGCGCACCTGCATGCAGGTCAGTTTATGGTTGGACGTGCCCACTGTGGGCTGGAGGTCTGGGTCAATACCGCAGGCGCAGTCTTTGAGCTCGCCCAAGGGAGCCCAATGTGCTCGGCCCCCGCCAGGGCGCTGTGTAGAAGAAGAGAAAACGCCATGCACATACACACTTTCGGAGCTCCACGCGGGTCTCCCGGGGTCGGCGCTGGAGCGCTCAGCGTGCCACCTCCGGAAGCTGTGCGTTCATGCCCTTTTTCTTCTTCTTCGCTGTTCTGAGGGGCAACGACAATGTGGGATAGGCATACGGGGGATGCATCGACCTCGAATGGCCGATACATCGCCCATGTCTCGTCGATGCACCGTCGATGCAGACCGCCTCATGTATCGTCCATACATCGTCGACGCATCGACCTGATCTCAAAGATGCATCGCCGATGTATCAACCATTCGAGGTTGATGCCTCCCCCCTGTGCCTATCCTCCCCCCGAGATCCGACGCTGCGACAAAAGTTGCAAAATAGCGGGAAATCACGTCTGGAGCCCCAGAACCAATCTTTCTGCGCCACTCTTCGAGCCGGGTCGAACTGTTAGGGCTCTGGGACCCGAAACCCGTCGAACACGCCCGGTGTCGGGTATCTACTGGCCCGGGTCAATGCAGATCCGGGTCAGTCGGGCTTTGCAAGATCCTGCAGGATCCTGAAAAATCCGGCAAGACCCTGCACGCAAACCCGGGTCAATGCACCCCTGGCCCTGCAGGATCCTGTAAGATCCGGCGCGCTGGCTGACCCCCGTTCGCGTTGACCTCCGTCTCGAGGCTCCCGACGATGTGAAAAATTGCAGCGCCTGAATCTCAGGGCCTATCTAGCGGCCTCCTAGATGGGGTCGGAGTACATGGGGTCGAAGGATCGCGCCGCATCGCCGATGCACCAGCGACGTCGGCGGTGCCTCGGCGACGCCGGCATCGAGAAGATCGGCTCCGCATCGCGCCGCATAGCCGATGCATCGGCGATGCGGCGCGATCCTCCGACCTCACCTACTCCGACCCCATCGAGAAGGCCTAGGGCCTATCGCTGCCCCCGATGTTCGGGGCCAGGTGCCCCATCGGCGGCAGCTCGATGGCCATGGGCTCGAAGGGCGCCAGGAGCCGCGCCGCCTCGGCGGGCGCGCGCGCGAAGGGACCCCTCGGGCAGAGGACCCCCATGGGGGGCTCCACCGAAAGCCCCAGTGGCAGGGTCCGCATGCGTCCGCACGATCCACGTTGGCACAGCCCTCACACGCTTCGTGGCCCCATAGGCAGTTCCGCCGAACGCCCTGGTGGTAAGGTCCACATGCGTCCGCCCGACCCATATCGGCACACCCGCTCACACGTTGCACGACCTCATAGGGAGCTCCACCGAAGGCCTGAATGACAGGGTCTACATGCGTTCGCCCGACCCATGTTGGCACACCCTTCACACGCTTCGTGGCCCCATATGACGTTCCATCGAAGGCCCCGATGGGAGCGTCCACGTGCGTCCGCCCGACCCACGTCGGCACACCCCTCATACGTTTCGTGATCCCATCGGGTGCTCCACCGAAGGTCTGAATGGCAGGGTCCACATGTGTCCGCCGGTACACCAGTCAGACGTTTTGCGGCCCCATGGGGAGCTCCACCGCAGACGACTCTCACGTCATCATATGTATGTATATATATATATATATATATATATATATATAGAGACATCTATATATACACATATATTTACGGTTGGGTCCTTTGCCAGGATAATTTACTTTCACCCCGCTCGGGGATCTGGGGTCCCTGTCCTCGCTTCCTGAATGGGCTTGCCTGGATCTCCCTCGAGCTCCCGACCCCATCCCCCAAGGGTACTGTTGCGTCCCTGATCCACTTTTGATGGCACTTTTGATGGCCCCAGGGCTCGATAGCGGGCCCCAGGATGACGAAATCGAGGAAGACCGCCGGGATCGAACAAAACCATACCCTCGGAGATCTGGGAGCGGGAATTGTCGCTGATGCACGCGCCCTGATCTACGTCCTCGCTTCCTCGGTGGGCCCGCCGCAGCAACGACGACGACGCCGACGCCGACGCCGACGCTAACGCCGACGCCGCCGCCGACGTTGACGCCGACGTCGCCGCCGCCGCCGCCGCCGACGACGCCGACGCCGACGACGACGACGACGACGACGACGACGACGACGATGGATCGCGGCCACGGCCGCTCCGCGCCGGCCGCCAGTCGGCCCGTTCCCCCCCGAGGGCGCCGCCGCGGCGAGCAGCACCGCGCCCAAGGCCGCGGCCAGCAACCCCCCCCGCACGGCGGCCGCCATCGGCGCCGGCGGCGGCCCATCCGGCGCACGCGCGCCGGCGGGGCGGCTGCGCGTGCCTCCGAGCCCAGACCAAATGTGCCCGCCCGACCCACGTCGGCACACGTTTCGTGGCCCCCTGACGGAGCTCCACCAGAGGCCCCAATGGCCCACCATGCGTCCGCCCGACCCATGTCGACACACCCCGCGCACGCTTCGTGGCCCCACGTGGAGCTCCACCGAAGGAAGGCCCCAGTGGGATGGTCCACATAGTTCCGCCCGACCGGTGCCCGGACAGAAAGTGTCCACGCCGACGGCGTGAAGACAATCATGCATGATGGCAACGACAGTTGCAATATACATGTGGCTCGCCCCCCCTCACCCCCAAACCCAAAGTTGAAGTGTTCATATTTTGTCCCCCGCGCGTTGCCTCGCATCCATCCCCGTCAACTTTGGGTTTGGGGGGGACGGGGGCTTTGGATATTTGTTCGACGCAATTCGGTGTCGTATCATCTTGGCGCGATGGGTGTGGACACTTTTTGTCCACCCACCGACCCACGTCGACACACCCCTCATACGTTTCGTGGCCCCATAGAGAGCTTCACCGAAAGCCCCAGTGGCAGGGTCCACATGCGTCTGCCCGACCTATGTCGGCGCACCCCTCACACGCTTCGTGGCCCCATGACGGAGCTCCACCGAAGGCTCCAGTGGCAGGGTCCACATGCGTCCGCCCGACCCATGTCGGCACACCCCTCACCAGACCCCCCATTGGGCGACGATCAAAACCGGGTCTTACGCGAGATGGCATGGCTCAAGCTCGAGCGCGCTTCCCAAGCGAGGCTGCTGAGCGGTGTGGGTGAGTGCCGCCCGAACTTAACCTGTTCTGTCACCAGCTCGTGCAACCGAGCGCACTGGAAGAACACGTCATAATTGGGCGACGATCAAAAGCGGGTCTTACGCGAGATGGCATGGGGACCTTGCGCGGCGGCTTGCGCGGGCCGCCAGCGCGGCACGCTACGCTGGAGACGAGGGCGCTTGCGCGCGAGCTTACGCGGGCAACTTACGCACCAATGTCGGCGAAGACGATCCCGCTTTGTTGTGTCGCTTAATTGACTTTAAGGGGTTGACGATCAGGACCAAGTGTGCTCCGCTCACCTAGCGGAGTTATCACCCCTAACCAACCTGGGCAGTCGCAACCCTTCTGAAAGCTATGTCAGGCCAGACATACCCCACCTCGCTATCCGCCGATGAGCCTCATGTTCCCTTAGCAGCCTCCGCGCCCATCACAGTCAAGGATGGGGCCCTGAGGATCCAGACTCGGCGGTGGACAAACCCCCCTTTAGTAAACCTCCCCTTAGTGAAAACGGCCTGGGACCGAAACCAACGGACCTGGACCCGCAAAAATGACGATCGCGACGCCCTCTCGCGAACCAAAAACGGCCAATTCCTCAATCGACGTGTGGGGGTAGGAGGTCTATCCACCTCCGACAGACCCCCTCGCGTCGTGAACAAACCAAGATGTTTTTGCTGCCGTTTCCGGCCTCTGGGGGCCCTCGCCGGGCTGTGGGACCTCCTCAAAAAGCTGTTCAGGATGGAAGGCTGGTCCCGACGAATGCGTGAGACCTCTGGGGATCGACGACGTGAACTCATCACGGCGTCGGGTGCCTGGGAATAACACCGACGCTGAGCAGGGGCCGGCCGTCCCAGCATTTTTAAAGGCCTGCCGCGAGATGTTCTGAGAGCACGCTGTGCAAGCCGCGAAACATCGGGAGCGGCCAAGAGGGGGGCGTCCAAGAGGGGGGGGCGCAAACCATGGCCGGCGGCATGTGTGCGGCCCAGGGGGGTGGGGGGGACGTAATGAAAGCAGAGGAGGCGCCATAACACTTGGGGAAATATCAGGGCCCACGCCATGATCCCCCCCCCTAGTCATCACCTCCCTCTTGGCCGCCCCCGAAAAAAGGCGGTCAGAACTTGAAGGTCGCTGGGGGGGCAGCGTTGTTTCCAGGGCCAGATCCCCGTACGCTCGGCGGGCGCGCTTGATCGGTCAACAGCAACCCTTACAGCCGCCCTTCGCGAGAAGCTCTGATCTCAGGTCTGCTCTTGCCGACGATTGGGCCGCTCATGCTTGCTCTTGCCCTCCAACAGCATTGCCCTCTCCCCCGTCTCCCCAGAAACACAGATCGCGCTCGCTGCCCCTCAGCGAGCTTCAAGTCAGAACCTCCCGCCTCAGCGAACTTCAAGTCAGAACCTCCCTCGGTGGGCTCCGTGGGCGAGCCGGGACGCCTCGCCCCCGCTCGACGACGGGCGCGACGTCGGGGCCCGGCGCGCGGCCGGGGCCCGAAAAGCGCGGCCTCGGCGGCTCGAGGCTATAGGGGGCCCTCGGCAGGGCGAGGGGCCCCGAGGGCGAGGGGGCCTCCACGGATGCACACTTCGACCTGCGCTCGAGGCTCGAGCCAAGCCTTATGTTTAGAGGAAAAAGAACTATGCACATGCACCGATTCTGGCCAGGCCCATCCTGAGCCCAGGATCGGTGCATACGCCCTCCTGCCTTGGCCACGAAGGCATATGCACCGATCCTGGGTCAAGGATGGGCGTTGTCAGGATCGGTGCATGTGCATAGTTCTCTTCGCCCGAATGTTGTTCCCATCGTACTTGAGGACCACATCCCAAAAATAATGTCGAGTGCCCGGAAAAAGTGTCGCAAAAGAGAGTCGCAAGAGTGTCGAAGCAGTGTCGGGCGAGTGTCTCCCAGGGCCCGACACGCGAACACCCTCGAGTTTCGGTGCTTTCTTGGTGCTCGAAATTCTTTCTGGTGATCCAGGCCAAAGTAGGTTGGAACATCATAACTCGAGGCTCGAGCCAAGCCGTGTTCTCCGTCGTCGCTCTGTGCCCGTTCTGCCTCGTGCTGGCGCCCTCTGCTGCAAAGGGAAGCCGCAACGAAGCACGGCGCCGGGCCACGACGTCGCCCAAACGCCGCTGAGCTCGCGCCCTGCCCGAGACCCCATCCCGGTCCACTGCCGTCGCTCGGGCGCCTCTTCCCCGTGCACTCCTCGGTCCTCGTGTCTGTCTGTATGCTTGCTCGCGAGATGGCCCCAGACGCTCCTCGACGGTCCTCGCCGGGGGATGCCAGCAGTGCTCGCGCCCGAGCGATGGCCACGGGCCTCCGGGGCACCTCCAGCAACCCCCGGGGCTTGAGAGCAGCGCGGCGCCGCGCGCCGTGCCCGGGGCACGGCGCGCGGCGCCGCGCTGCTCGGGGATGGGGGGCCCCTCGGGGGGGGCGGCGGGCCCGGGGGTCGATGGGGGCCTCGGGGGGGGGGGGCACGCTGCGCCGGGGCTCTCCTGCGGCAGCCGAGCCGGCGGTGCCGGAGGGGGCACGGCGGGGGGGGCGCGAGAGCCCTCCGAGGGCCACGCCGCGCCACGACTGCGGCGGGAGAGGGGCGCGAAGCACGGGGCACAGGGGCACCTTCGAGGGAGCGGGGCCGGCCTGCTGATGCAGTCCACCCGTACCACAAGGATGCGCGGTCAGGATGCAAGGGCCTTGGAGGGCCACGTCAACGGTCGTCGATCGAGGTTGGCCAGCGAAAGTTGCCACAAGGATTGGCCGAAGGGGCAAGGACGCAAGGGTACCCTGGGGAAGGTTGTTCATCCTTGCCGTGCGGGTTGACTGCAAGCATCGGCTGCGTCCTCCGGGCCCCGACGTCGTGAGTTTCTGCCAGCGTCGCTCCCCGGAGGTCTCGCCCGTCCTCCGGGACGGGCCTTTCATCCCGCGTCGCTCTGTCACGGCCCCGTGGCCTGGCAATGGCCCCCGCAGGCCGAAAGCGTCCCGAAACCCCAGGTCGTGCTTTGTTCACGCCGCGAGGGGTTCTTGCGGAAACCAAGAAAGGCACCAATACCGCTGCTCCCCGGCCCTCTCCCGGGGTGCGTTCTCACTAAAATTTCGAAGCGAATCCAGCGGTGGCGACGAGGGCCTCCCAGGAGGCCCAAAAAGGCGAACACGAAGGAATGGCAGCAGTATCGGCATCTTTACTCCCCTCCGAACCTGAGGTCGTGTTTTTTTCACGACGCGAAGGGGGTCTGGGTCCTCTGGGCCCCAACCCTCACTGGGATGGGCACGTGGGTTGCTAACCTCAGGAGGTCTTTAGTTTTGCTTCCCCCCTGTTCTTCTCGGGGGGAGCAAACTCGCCCCTCCTCCTCCTCCTCCTCCTCCTCCTCCTCCTCCTGCTGCTCTTCCTCCTCCTCCTCCTCCGCCTCCTCCTCCGCCTCCTCCTCCTCCTCCTCCTCCTCCTCCTCCTCCTCCTCCTCCTCCTCCTCCTCCTCCCCTCCTCCCTCTCCTGCTCCTGCTCCTCCTGCTCCTCCTCATGGTCGTTATCGTGATCGTAGTCGTCGTCGTCGTCGTCGTCGTCGTCGTCGTCGTCGTCGTCGTCGTCGTCGTCGTCGTCGTCGTTGTCGTCGTTGCGGCGGAGATTGTTTTCCTTCTATCGTTGGGCGGGCTGGATCATGTTGGGGTGTTCTTTCTTCCAGGGAATTACCCATTGTGGGCTACCCTACACGCGAGAGGATTCGTGAGCACCTTCCCATGAGGAGTGTAATCGGAATCAGTGTTTAGTCGTGATCGTAGTCGTGATCGCAGTCGTGGTTGTAGTTGTAATCGTAGTCGTAATCGCTGTATTGCTGAGTGGGCTTGATAATGTTGGGGGATTCTGTCTTCCAGGGAATGTTGCTCCCTGGGCTACCTCGCACGACCGAGGAATTTGGACCATGTTTGTAAGAGGATTGCAATGCAGATCGACACATTCTTCGCCGAAGGCGTTGCTCACAATCTCCTCCTTCATCTCGTCGTCGTCGTCGTCGTCGTCGTCGTCGTCGTCGTCGTCGTTGTGCGGCGGGAGCCGCGGAGAAGTAAGTATTTCCCCCTGTTGGTGGGGCTCCAGTCCGTCAATAATGTCGCCGAACGTAGAATTTGTTTCCACTATTAGGGATTCTGAAAAACTACACGGGTTCAGGGGGCGGCTGGCTTATGAGCGGATGCCAGGGTGGCTCACGCCTGGCCCAGCGGCAGCTTCTCGGAGGGCTGCGGCTGCCCAAGCTGCCCAGGTCGGTGAGATGACCCCGCTCGGTGGGCCGAGCACGCCCGGCCCAGGGCGTGAGCGGAGCAGAGCGGAGCAGAGCGGCCCGACGTCCACTCCCTGCCGGGAGCGGCCCCCTGCCGGCAGCCCAGAGACTGCCTGGGCAGGCCGTGGAGGGCGCAACGTGGAAGACACAAGCGGCAGAGAGCTCCACGGGCGACGCCTCCGCCCACCTCTTGGCGGGCCCAGGTCGTGAGCACCCCACGAAAAAACCACACAGTGGGGGCTGCGGCCTCGAGCGTGCCACCGGCCGGCCGACGCCCCGCGCGCGGGGGGGCGAGGCCCGCGCGCCGGCGCGCGCGCCGGGGGGCAGGGGGGCCAGCGGCGCCGCTGGTCGAGTAGAGGGTCTACTACATAATTGAAAATGCTCATAATTGAACGGGAAAGCTCATTTTGCTTAGATTTTTTTGGTTTGGGGGGATGGGGGCGTGTGCGCGAATTGCACGCCCAAACAAGATGATTTCACGATTCCGAGTTTGGCTTTCGGAGGCCGCGTCCTCCCCGCCCTCCCAGCCTGGGAGGGCGGGGAGGACGGCGGGATGCCGAAGCCGGAGGCCAGAACGGAGGCCGCGCCCGGAAGCCGAGCCAGAGCCGCAAAGCCAGACCGCGTGGCACAGACCCAGGCCTCTGACGAGGCAGGCTCGGCCAACGAAGCCACACCGAGGGTCGGCTGAGTCCTCGGCGAGCCCTCTTTTGCTCCGTGTCGCGTGCTCTGTCCACCGAGTGCAGCGAGAGAAACGCATCGATCGTTGCTACGTATCGTTATCGTTGTTATCGTTGCTATCGTTGCCGAGGTCGGGACCCAGATCTCTGACGATATGAGCGACGAAACGAAGCGGGCCTTGCGCGAGAACGTACAGCGACATTACGCTGCGGCCTACGCGGGCTGCCAGCGGTGCACGCTACGTTGGGAACGAGGGCGCTTGCGTGCGACCTTCCGCGGCTTGCGCGCCAATGTCGGCGCAGACGGCCCAAGTTTCCGCGTCGCCCATTTGATGTTTCGAAGCCCAGCGTTTTTCCTTGGATTTCGGCCTCCATCTCCATGGCCCGCTGTGGGGCCTTTCGGCGGTGGACAAACCTCCCTTTAGTAGACCTCCCCTTAGTGAAAACGGCCTGGGACCGAAACCGACGGACCTGGACCCGCAAAAATGACGGCCGCGACGCCCTCTCGCGAACCGACAACGGCTAATTCCTTAATCGACGTGTCAGGGTAGGAGGTCTGTCCACCCCCGAGCCTTGGGCTTCGGGGCCATCAGTAGTGGATCCGGGACGGGAGGCTACTTCCCGCTAGGGAAAGGGTCGGGACCTCTGGTGCAGCGGAGAGGGGAAACCACGTCGTCCGCTGTTTGGGGGGGGTGGGAGGAAGGAGAAGGAGAAGGAGAAGGAGGAGGAGGAGGAGGAGGAGGAAGGAAGAATAGGAGGAAGGAGGAGGGGAGGAGGAGGAGGAGGAGGAAAGAAGAGGACGAGGAGGAGGAGGAGGAGAGGAGGAGGAGGAGGAGGAGGAGGAGGAAGAAGAGGACGAGGAGGAGGAGGAGGAGGAGGAGGAGGAGGAGGAGAAGGAGGAGGGCTGAGGTTGGACGCAGCGAACCGGGCGCTTGCGCTCCTGCGGCCCTCTGTCGGGTGCTTCTTCCCCAGGGCCCCGCCGCTGCCACGGGTGGAACTACCCTCGGCATTTTGGCCATGAGGTTAGGTCGGGCGTGTTCTCCTACAGGCGGATTTTGGAAGACAAGTAAAACGTCGTCAAACTATGATCAAACATAGTCAAGCACAGTAAAACATTTTCTGGTGTACGCGAGACAATTTTGGCAGATCCCTCCTGTAGAGGGACATGCCCGACGTCACAATGGGGGGCGCCCCAGGGCAGGCTTGGGGGGGGGAGGCCCTGCTAACTTGGAGGCCCGAAGCAGACCGAGGGAGGGGCCCGAGGAGCCAGGCCTCTGGGCGCTCTTCGCCCTCTTCGGGCGTCTCTAGGAGGCTAACTGTCGCCGCCGCCGGGCCCGCGTCGGCATAGCTCTGAGGGCGCCAGAGGCTTCTGGGCGTTCTCCGCCCCTTCTCGGGCCTCTGGGAAGCTCGCTGCCGCCGCGCCTGGGTCCGCGCGCCCCCTCCGAGGAACCTGGAGGCAGACTTTTGGAGGGAGGGCTGAGGCTCAGGCCTCCTGCGCTGCGACCAGAACTCAAGAGGATGGTTGCGGGTCCAGGGGGCACGCCTTAAGAACATGCCGTATCCATCCTCAGGCGGGTGCTGCCACAGGTGCCCCTGGCCCAAGGTGTCCCAGGGACTTTCCAGGGAGGCCCCCACGTCCTCCAGAGCACACCCCACGACGCCCAGATGGCCCCAAGTGCTCCGAAGGGGAGCGAAAAGCCAAGGACACCTTGGGCCAGGGACACCTCTGGCAGCCTCGACTCGGCCGCCGCCGCCGCATCAAACGATTTCAGGCCGCTGGTGGCCCTCACAAGCCCTGAAGGCCCGCGCCGCTGGCGCCGCCGCGCCAACACGACACGACCCTCCGATCTCGACCCTCGATCCCCCAGCCTCGAGCCTCGTGCCTCCAACCTCGAGCCTCGATCCTCCAACCTCGAGCCTCGACCTTCCGACCTCGACCCTTGATCCCCGAGCCTCGCTCCTCCAACCTCGAGCCTCGATCCCCTAACCTCGAGCCTCGACCTTCCGACCTCGACCCTTGATCCCCGAGCCTCGCTCCTCCAACCTCGAGCCTCGATCCCCTAACCTCGAGCCTCGACCTTCCGACCTCGTGCCTTCAACCCCGAGCCTCGCTCCTCCAGCCTCGAGCCTCGATCCCCTAACCTCGAGCCTCGGCCTTCCGACCTCGACCCTTGACCCCCGAGCCTCGACCCCCGATCCTCTGACCTCGCTCCTCCAACCTCGACCTCGCCGCCCGGGGGAGGGGTCCGTGGTGAAGGAGGGCGGAGCGCCTGGAGGGTCGAGGGTCGAGGATCGAGGGTGGAGGCTCGAGAATCGCGGGTCGAGCGGGCGTGGGGGATCGAGGATCGAGAACCGAGAACCGAGGATCGACAAGCGAGAATCGCGGGTCGAGGATCGAGGATCGAGGATCGAGAATCCCGACCCTCGACCCTCCAACCTCGACCTCGCCGCCCGGGGATGGGCCCGTGGTGAGGGAGGACGGCACGCCTGGGCGGCGGCGGCGGCGGGGGCGCGCCCAGCGGGGCCGGCGACTTCGCGGAGTCCTGCAGGAGTGGAGGCCTCCCCGCAGACCCCCTCGCGTTGTGAACAAATCACGACGGGAAGTTTTGTTTGCTATCTTCGGCCTCCAGGGGCCCTCACCGCGCCCTGGGCCGTGAAAAAACGACTCAGGATGAAAAACCGGTCCGGGGGAAGGGGTCCAGACCTCTGGGGGGTCGACACTGCGAGAATACCACGACGTTGGGGGTCTGGGCCAGGTGGGGTCGGAGTAGATGGGGTCGGAGGATCGCGCAGAATCGTCGATGCATCATCGACGCATCGGCGACCTCGGCGTGCAGAACATCGGGTTCCACATCGAGCCGCATCGCCGATGCATCGGCGATGCGGCGCGATCCTCCGACCCCATCTACAGTCGAACCTAGGACCGACGAACACCCCTCAAGAATACGAGACCCTCCGCCAGCCAACACGCACAGAACATCTCCACGGGTGCCCTCCCCCGGGGTGTACAAGAACATCCAACAGGCACGAAGAACATCAAGGTATCCTGCCCGAACCGACCTCTTGGGCGTGGCTTAATGGTGGGGTCATAAATGGGGGGGGGTCAGAAACGGTCCCCTTTCGTGCCCCTTTCGGGCCCTTCCGGAGCCCCAGGGGGCTCGTTTAGGTACCGTTTGGGTACCTTTTCGGGCCACCCTTGCCACCCCCCCACTTATGACCCCCCCATTGCGAAACGCCCAAACCTCGATCTTATACCTCGGTCCGGCTGTACGCGACGGGCGAAAGAAGCAGGCAGCAAACACACGAGGCAGGACGGCGGCTGAAGTCGACGGGGCTCCGGGCCTCCCGGAGCATACCCGCAGCACAGCACAAACACATCGATGACGGAAGCAGGGCGGCGCCTAGAGTAGACTGGGATCTGGGAATCAAAGAGAGACCCACTTTCACTGGCCGCCGAGCAGACCGACCCCCGCCTGGGCGGCCTCGGATGGGGGCGGCGCGGCGGCGGCGGCGGCGGCGGGGAGGCGTCCCGCCCCCCAACCAGTCCAGGTGAAGGGGCGGGATCCGTCCGAGCGATGTGATGCAAGTTCCCTCGTCCTCTTCTTCCTCCTCCTCCCTCCTCCTCCTCCTCTTCCTCCTCCTCCTCCTCCCCCTCCTCCTCCTCCTCCTCCTCCTCCTCCTCCAACCTCCTCCTCCTCCTCTCCTCCCTCCTCCTGCAACCTTCCCTCCTCCTCCTCCGCCTCCTCCTCCTCCTCCTCCTCCTCCTCCTTATCCTCCTCCTCCTCCTCCTCCTTCTCCTTCTCCTTCTTCTTCTTCTTCTTCTTCTTCTCTTCTTCTCTTTCTTCTTCTTCTTCTTCTTCGCGGCGGCGGCATGGAGGCGGCCTCCCCCTGCGGAAGGGCGGGCGGAGGCCGGCCGGCGGCGCACCCCGCGGCGCGCGGCTGCGCGGGCGCCCGTGGCGGAGGGCGCCCGTGGCGGAGCGGGCCGGGGGGTGCTCTGGGCCGGGCCGGTCGTGAGGGCCACGGGGGCGCGAAGTCATCCCAGGCGTGATCGCGTCGTAAGAGATCAGGGCGGCAAGTTTTTCAACAGTTTCGGCCCTCGGGGGCCCTCGCCGGGCCTCGGGACCGCCAAGAAACGACTCAGGACGAGAAACCGGTCCTGGGGAGAGGGTCGGGACTTCCAGGGACGCCGTCCTGAAAAAACAGGACGTCGCATGTCTGGGATTAAAGGAGCCCTGGGACACACAGGTAAATACACACAAATCCAAGGATTCCCGATATTTTCCCATCTATTCTGGGTTTTCGTCTTCCCCCCCCCACGTCCCATATTATTTTCCACATTGTCCTGAGAATTGACGATGAATTGTGTCTGTGTGTTTTGTCCACTCCTGAGTCATGGAGGGGGAAGAGCGGCGTTCTTCTCGGGCCCTGCAGAGCAGAGAGCCCCCTTTCTGGGCCCCGAAGGTCCTTCAGGGGCCCTGCGGGGGCCCCTGTCTGCAGCCCTCGCTGCTGCCCCCCCTTCATTTCTCGCCCCCCCCCCCCCCCTGACGCGCCCCCCAAGAGATGCCCAACCCCCCTTGCCGAGAAAGGACAGCGATGGGGCCATTGCCCACCCTTTTTTTCCGGCTCCTGGGAGCCCTCGACCACAGACCAGCCCGGGACGAGCGCAGCGGACCCCGGGGGCGGACCTCTGGACAGAGGCCTCCTGGAGCCGATGGGGTCAGAGGATCGCGCCGCATCGGCGATGCATCGGCGATGCACCGGCGATGCACCGTCGACGTCGGCGATGCTTCGGCGACGTCGACGTGGAGCAAATCGGGCTGCGCATCGAGCCGCATCGGCGACGCATCAGCGATGCGGCGCGATCCTCTGACCCCATCTACTACGACCCCATCTAGGATGCCCAGACTGGGGCCCCTGGGGTGCCACGCTGCGAGAGAAGCACGACGGCGGGGGTCTTGGGGGTGGGGGGGGGGCGGGGCGCGGCGACCCGATGGCGGGCGGGGCTCGGGGCGCCACGAGAGGCCATCCCCGAGTTCGAAGCCTGGGGGCAGGTGGGGGGGTCCAGTGTGTCTGCGGGTGCTCTCTCAAGGGGGTGCGGGGACCTGGGGGGGGGATCTGGGGCGGGCAACCCGCAACAAAAACCCAGACCACAGGCGTCCGCTTTTCGGACCCCGGGCCCCTCGACAGTTCTACTGGACACCATTTTCATCCGCCGGCCCTCCCCTCCTCCTCCTCCTCCTCTCCTCCTCCTTCCTCCTCCTCTTTCCTCCTCCTCCTCTTCCTCCTCTCCTCCTCCTCCGCTCCTCCTCTCCTCCTCCTCCTCATCCTCCTCCTCCTCCTCCTCCTCCTCCTCCTCTCCTCCGCCTCCTCCTCCTCCTACCCCCTCCGTCCTCCTCCTCCTCCTCCTCCTCCTCTCCTCCCCTCCTCCCCTCCTCCTCCTCCTCCTCCTCCTCCTCCTCCTCCTCCTCCTCCTCCTACTACTCCTATCCTTATTCCTTATTAGAATATACTCCTACTCCCCCCTCAGGCCGGCAGATAGCGGGCGCATCCGGGTGGTCCCATCCTAGCCTGTAAAAAACAATACAAAATCAACATTTTTCTTATTTTTTCCTCTCGACATGGACGTCCTGTCGTCCACGGCGATAATCCATTGCAACAAATAGCACAAAGAGCACACGCGCGCGTTCATGTCATAATCCTACCGAACACCGTGTGTTTGCAAGCATTTCAATATAAAAACATCAAAAACCCAATGCTTTTTCACCAAAAATTGTACAACTTTCCCGCCCGGGCTCTCTTGCTGAAATCATCAGAAAACTATAGGAGTCTTAAGAATTCGGTCAAATCCAGCGATTTCACGTCATCGCGCGGTGCACTCGCGATGCTCTGTCATGCACCCAGGCCGCGAATCCTGTGCAAAAAATACTACAAAGAGCACACTCGCGCGTTCATGTCAGAATCCTACCGAATACCGTGTTTTTGCAAGCATTTCAACATAAAAACATCAAAAACCCAATGCTTTTTCACAAAAAATGCTTTGGGGTGTCCTGTCAGACCGTCGGGCTTCCTCCGGCCACCTCTGGCTTCCTGCGGTGTACCGGGCCATTCTCGACTCGTCTGGCAACGCGTGCGCGGCATTCAACACGCGCTCGCCAGTTCCCGTCGGCAACCGCCATCGCGGCCGCATCAGCTGTACCAAACCGGCTGGCCGGTGTGACTTCGGCCCCCAGTTGTGCCAGCTTTGCTTCTTATGTTGTGGGAGGGCGGGTGGGACCGGGCATGCCATGCTTGACTCGCTCGAGCTGGCTAGCTTGACTCCTACTCCTACTCCTACTCTACGCCTCCTCCTCCCCTCCTCCTCCTCCTCCTTCCACCTGTACCTCTACTCCTACTCCTACTCCTCCTCCTCCTCCTCCTCCTCCTCCTCCTCCTCCTCCTCCTCCTGCTCGTCCTCCTCCTCCTCCTCCTCCTCCTCCTCCTTCTCCTCCTCCTGCTCCTCCTAGCACCTCGCTGACGCGGGCGCTGCTACGCCTCCCTAGAGGGCAGGGGCCCCTCCAGGCGGCCATGGGGGCCGACTGGGGCCCCGAGGCCGTGGCTCTGGCCTGGGCCTTGCGCGTGGGCAACCCCTGGGAGGAGGAGGAGAAGGAAGAGGAGGAGGAGGAGGAGGAGGAGGAGGAGGAGGAGGA